CCTTCCTATTTTTGACAACTAAGTCGCTGACTCTTAACTGCAAACTGTGAATATGGTTCATAAACAGTAGAAATATCTGAATTCCAGGAGTGATGTTAAAAAAAAATATATATTTAAAAATCTGTATAAAATAGTGTTATCAATTTACTTCGGCACTTTGATAATCCTATTGGCTTTATAATGGGTGTATTTAAATGTAAGGAAATTTCTAGATGGACTGCAAAGGCTACTGTCCAATTCAACATATATGCCCGACATCTAATTTCAGCGTACTTCGACAGATTATCGCCCAAATTTATTTTCAAAATTCTGATTTTGTGTGGCAAACTTACAGAGCACAATACCGAAAAGACTATTTAGGTTCTAAGCATTCAAGGTAAATTAGCGACTGGCGCATGTCGAAAACCTTAGGAGTGTTTTTCGTTTCTTTTAGAAAGCTTGTGTAGTATTAACGTTTTGAAATAATTTTCTGCATTTTATTTTAAATAAAAGTTATCAACTTGAAAACACAATCTTTATTGTATCTGGGATTATGCTCCCACGGTGATCTCTTTAACATTTCCTCTCTGAGTACCGTTATCTCATATTGAAACGATAAAAAAATGCATTTACGCTTTTAGTATGTGTGTGTGTTTTTATAGATTTAAACATCGAGCTTTAATGACACCAAACCACCTGCCTGCCTCCAATGATTTGCCATCATGCACAGCAACCTGTACAACTTCATTCACAAGTAGACATGCATACCTCTATTACATACATACATGTGTTTGTGTTGGTGCATATAACGAGATTTGTATGTGCCATTGCAGCGTGGATGTTCCGGTATTTATGTACGCAACAATTTGTATGCTGCACTCAATGGGTTCTGTACATACCTATACACGTGCATGTATGGGTGTCTGTATGCAAACAAAAGTAAAGGTATGCGTCTGGATATTTGTCTGCCGGTTTTGCTTACGCAAAAGTGATGCTTCAGCGTACAACCACCGCATTTCCAATGTGAGCCATTTCATTATACACACATAAATCCATATAAAGCACTATGTGCATTAGTATGTCGAAATGGATAGAAATGAATATGTATGTAACATATGATGAAATATGTAGGTAAATCGAGAACTGCCCAGTAGGGCTATACCACTATATACTAGTACCGTTCGATGAATTCTGGACCCGAATTCCGAATTATCATATTTAAGTTTAACGAAAGCTAATGTAGACAGTAGTTGTATATCTGAAACCTAACATGCTATTATCTCCTTAGAAGAGTCTTCAACACTTCTTTAACGTGCTTCAGCAAGAAAAGCTCAACCAAATATCTACCACAACTTTGCTGCGACCTAAATCTACTTTGTGGGAGCATTCAAAATTTTCAAGTAGTCTTGGGTTTGGAACCGTCACATTTTTTAATTCTTGTACGATAATATTAGTTTCTTAAAGCGAATTCTTAACTTAACATCACTACAAGTATATACATAGCTCCAAATTGTTCCGATTCATTCATAATGTAATACCTATTATTAATAAACTGACCCACAATGTTATTTTCCCTACGAGTATCTTCATGTACTACGTTTGCCACTTTAAAAATTAGGTTTTATACCCAGAAGGAAAAGTCGGAGGGTATATGGTATATAAATGATTAGCGTGGTAAGCTGGATCGAGTTTGGTATGTTTGTCCGAAGGATTCTGTCTGCATATAAGCGGAATGGTCCCTCAGTTTTTGAGATATGAATCTGAAATTTTACAAACGCTTAGTTATCACATAGAAGCCGCTGCTGAGGAAACACTGATATCTTAACACCATAGCATATGGCTGTCATACAATACAAAGTATTGAAAGCTTTTTATTTTACAAGATACTATGACAAAATTTGGCATAGATTATAATTAAAAGCAACGCTATCTATCTATCTAATATTGGCCATTGGATAATAAATACGATTTTTAGTAATAATTCGAATATGTCCTCCATCTAGTGGGATACCTTTTGCCTCATACTTCGCAAATGAGTTTAATAGAGTAATGAATGTGATTTTATGGTATGGACTTCAGGTATCGCAGCGTCATCTATCGACAATATATTTCGCTACCAATAAGTCGACTATTTGCACCTCTCACCTCAACTAGTTTAGCACTAGTATATTTGCATACAGTACTCGGTGCAGTTGCACTTATTTGCGAATGTCTATGCCACATTTGACTGCAACGAGTTGGCAGAGATTGTTGCGCACAACTTAAACTGCTATCCACTCGTCTATGAAACGCTTTCTCTTTTACCCACTGCCACAACGCTGCGCTGTATTCGTTATATGTGTACGGCTTTCGGCAATGGATTGCCAGCGAACTTTTAACGATGGCAACGCATCCTTGAAATATTCTTGTTTGTATTTGTATTGAAAATTGCACTCAAGGCAAGCATCAAGCACAGTAACGATAGAAACACCCACAGAGAGCCAACACAGCAGAAGCAACAAACACACAAAAAAAAACAAGAACAGGAACTGAACGTAGAGAGCAAATCAACGACGAACAGTAAAACAATTTCAGCAACTGATTTGATGATGGAACACAGGCAAGTTGCATGACATTTAGACATTCGCCTTCTCTGGTTTGCCTATTCAACGCGCTAGCTGACACGCCGGCAATTCGAAATTTCAACGCCTGCTAACTTCGCCGCAGACAAGCACACAGACAGCGTGTTTATCTACCGCCCAAACACCCGCCCAACACCGCAACACCCAAATGCCACATTTCTTTTTTTTTCCTTTTTTTTTTTGCTTTGCATGAGTCTGTGCCTAGATTTCAATTCTGAAGCCATTTAGCGATGTGCAACATGGCTCTAAATCTATTTAAAACGCAATGAAATTGACGTTGCATTGATCGTGTTGCAGCATCGTGGCGGCATCACTGGCTCGTGTTTATCTGTATTGTAGTAGAAAATTGCCTACAGTTAGTCGTGGCTGTTTTAGTGCCTTCTGCAACTAAAGCTAACCAGAGTGGTTGTTGTTGCTGTGTTGCAAGAGAAAATAAAATTCGCCGTAATGGCTGTGGAAAGTCCAACACTTGTTCACAGCTTAAATAACAAATTAAATTTTCTAAGTTTATACGCAGCGCGTGTATTACACAGTACTTGTTGTAGGCTATGCGATTTTCCACACAGTCATTGTTTTGTGTATTATTTGCGGCAACTTCAATATGTCTGTGCATCTGCGCTTTTGTGGTTTACCAGCAGAAGTGGTGGTTAGATTTGTCTACTATATGCATTTGGTGGTTGAGCCGTTAGTGTTGCATACACTAATTTGCCGCTATTCATTAGCATTTGGCGACACGGCGGTCGCGCAGCATCTTGAAAAGCAAATTAAGGACATTCAAGCACATCGGCGACTCATTGACGTTGAGTCGTCCAACCATGCGTGGAGGGCGTATATTATTTATTAAAAATACGTCGAGCTTCTCGTTATTTGTAACGCAATGAAGGGAAATATTCTACCCTCAACCCTTCATGAGACGTTTTTGCAATTCTTATATACAGTTAGTTGATCAAAAATGATTTGCATAAATTAAGTGCTATACGAAATTGTACCTTATATTATTTTCTAAGTCGGTTGTTAGTGAAATAATTGTGATATAAGCTCTGGTGATTTTACGACACTCAACACTGAAATATCTTCTATGCTGACATCGCCCTTTTACTTTTATTTTCTTGGTATAAGAGGAAATGTATTTTGCTCTTACTGAATACCTATCTATTTCTATTTGAATTTTTTTTTTGAATTCATAGAATCGATTAGTCTAATTTTAAGGTATATTCGAAAAATAGGTTGAAATGTTAATTTTTTGCATTAATGCCTACATTGTTTCCAGTAATTCCACAGACTAATTGTTAAGGAAATTCAAATGATTTTAACACGCCTTTATTAGCATAGGTTGTATGTATGTATGTAATGGAATCTTAGAGCTTAATTTAAATTGGTTTCTAGAAGTCTGATAAGCTTGAAACTTTGCACACGTATCATAAATATTGACCGAAAAGTATTTTTATCAGATCGAATAGTTTTAGATGTTACAAACAACGATGGGTGAACAAAACTATTTCTCTGTGCAACATTTTAATATCGTATCGAAGTGTTTATTATATACATATTCGATCCTACATGGGAAAAAACAAAATTATGTTCATAAAAATATTGAAATATCACATATATTGACCAACCAAAACGGTTTAAAGCCTGGAGCAAAGTCGATTATATGAGGTGTAGCGAATTGTATTAACTTTTAACGTGCCTTAATTGTACTCAAGAACATGTGTGTATGCAATTTTATAAATACTTGTTTGTAACTCACACATAAAATCATTATATGTAGGAAGTATATGGGAGTTGGGTAATTCGTACACTAAATTCACATAGTTAAAATATTTTACGTATTTACTGATATATACGGTATAAAGTCAACCATAAGTTCGAAAGTCTTATATAAGATATATGGGAGATAGGAAAGTATTGACCCATTTTTTTATTAATTTTTGGCATTACTATATATTGCTAACAAAATAAAGTGCTTTCTGAGTTTCATTAAGTTACCTCAAATACCGCCACCAATATTATAGAACAAAGTCAGCCTCAATTTTCCACCCGATTTTATTCATTCTAAGCATAAAGATACACTATTTTTAGAAAAACTCTCGCTCTCAATTTCACTAAAATAACTTACTATATTTCGAAAATCTTTCTATTAGGGGTATGGGAGCTAAAAAAGTATTATTCTGATTCAACCCATTTTTGATGATGATATGATTTCCATCCTTCAATAATATATCTCACAGATTGAACGATATTTGCGTTAAAAAGTTAGCAATAAGCACTGGGGTCCATATATTAGGTATCTCGGGGCTTGAATAGTTTTCGTCTAATTTTTACAATTGCTAGATTCGAGATGTAATAACCTAAATGCATTATTTGCACAAGGTTTATCCCAATATATTCATTGCTGCTTCATTTGCATACTGGAAAATTAAAGAAATAGATGGAATTTAAAATTGTGTTACATGAAAAGTAGATTTTGTTGTGGTTCGATTTCGCCATTTTTCACGCGCTAATATTAGAATGTCAGAATGATATTATCTACCAAATTTGGTTGAAATTGGTTCAGTCAATCAATTGGTCCTGATTGATTGGGATTCTCGCATCATCTCGGGTGTAAAATTTAATGTCCTTGACGCATTTATTAAAAGACTTAACGCACTTTTAGTAAATTTTTACCAAACCGTTAAATGGGGAGTAGGCGAGCTTATGATCTGATCTCATCCATTCTAACACTGTAGGAGGGAATAACAAAAAAATGTGTTCTGAGAAAATCTCCTTTATTTAGCTAAAGTAGTTTGAGAGTTATGTTTATCAAATCTAGTAAGAGGCGGCGCTACGCCCATATTTTAAAAAAAATTTAAATCACAGATGCTCCTCTCTAATAAATGTAGTACTCTGTACCTCCTTCAGAATTCAGTTCGGTTCGATTTCACGTTGCTAAGATAAAAGCCTTTCACTCCTAAGACTAGACAGTACGCTTACCACTAATACAAATTACGAGATACAATTTTTGCACTCACAACACCATTTTTCGCAACAATATTTCCATCGCAATTGCCGTCAGTTGCCAGTTCACATCCATCTACGTCTTACCAGCTTGACAAGTGGTTGCCCAGCTTTTTGCAGAAACTTTTATTCCAATTATCATCGCTACGAACTTCATTTACATATAAACATACACTTGGCGCTTAGTCAACTCTAAACAATATTTGGTGTTCTCCTCGCTAGAAATGCTTTAATATTAGAAAGCAGTAGTAAGAAATTGTTTCTTCGTTTTGTTTTCACTTTTAAATTATATTCCGTTTTTCATAAATATGCGCTCTGCTGCGTTGCATGCTCAAAAGCCGACACAACAAGTTGCTCACTCACCCACAACTGAAGTGTGGAATTTTTCACTCGAATAATTAAATTTTGTATACAAGTTGTAAAATTCGCCACTTTCTCTGCAACCAAATCAGTTGTTGTTGTGATTTAAGCTAACTGTTTTACATACAGTATTTGGTGTAGTTCATCGACTCAGCTCTGGCAGCTTGGCGGTTTTCCTTTAAATGTTTTGTTGCTGTTTGCGAGCGCTTGCTCCACTTCCTGTTCTGTTAATTTTTTCCAGCTACTGGCGTCTGTTTTACTTATTTGCATTCTGTGGCAAGCCACATCTCTGCGGTTGTTATTGTTACTCTTAATGTTTATTTGTAATATTTTTGTGTTGTTGTTTGTAGTAGTCTGTGTAGGCTGCAGCTTAAAGTGTTATTACTATTAATACTTTTATTGAGCTAACGAGGCTTCCTCACCAACCAGCCTTAATTAGTCTGCTCGCCATTTTGTGCTTCAAACAAACTACGAAGATTGTTTTGTTATTTAGGCTTTGTTTAGCATAAAGTGTTTAACGATAATTTCATTTGCATTTCACTGCAGAATTTGCGGCATTCAAAAGTTTCGGTTGTTTAAAATGAATTATATTTATTTTAGCAGAGATTTTATGAAAGTAAATATAAGTTTAGTCGGTAAGCTTTAAGCTCTGTATAAGCGAGATATTTCGAAAATATTTTTGATATTTGATTATTGTTAATCTATTTAAGATTTTGGAGTACATGAGAAAAATGTTAGTACTTCCATATGTTTTCCATATAATTTGTGATTTTCAGCGACTATAATGTCGTGAACTTCTCCACTTTATTTGAAAAATCTCGTTCTTGTTTAAATCTCGATTCATTTGGAACAATTCTATTTTACTAAGATAGACCAAAACCACAAAATATAATTTAAGGTTGATCTAATTATTTAAATAATTAATAAAGAAAAATAATTAAAAATTATTTTGGCAAAAAAAAAATGTTTGTTATGATATGCTGAGGACGTTTTTGAGCTACATTAAGGTACCGCTTCTATTATAAAAGGTAGCCACACATTATTTATTATCATCTCAGATATAGTCTTTTTGGTTAAGTTTCAATGAGTGCCTGAATACCATTATACCATATTTCCAATATAAGAAAAAGAAAGGGCTGATTTCATAGTTTTTCAGTACTAACTCATAGTTGAATATGTGAAAGGTTTTTTGCAAGTTTCGGTAAAATCTATGCGAAACTAAGTGAGATCAAGTTAATGGAGAGGGCGGAATTTTTCATAATTGATGTAAGAACTATTAAAAGTTTGCCTTTATTTTATCCTGGTTTTTAATTGCCGAGGTTATGTATATTAATGCCTGAAAAGGTGGTGGAATTGAAAATGGTCTTGTATTGGAATATTTTTCAATTATACAAGTAAATGCATACATCGTCAGTAAAATTATTTGCGATATGTGAAACATATAATAAAAAGGAAGTAGACCGTGTCATGTTCATAGTTTAAATTTTGAACTGATGCACAGATAAAATTCAAATATCCCGTTCGTAACATAATTTTACGCTTCTGGTTCTACTCTTCCGGTTACTACCTCATTGAAAAGAATTTTAACATGTATTTAATTGATATGCAGCGTAGTTATTATCTTATAATTTGCACTGTATTAGCATTAGACAATTTTGCAGATTTAGCTCTTTAAGTTTATGGGATATGTAAGATAAACTTATTAGAGAACGGGCCTTAAACTACAGCGCCACCATACCTGTTATTCTTCATAAAACATGAGTGTTCAAACGAATTATAATACGTTAAGAACTTTGGCATGACATTATTTCACGGCAAGATTTCTTCTATTAGCTATAGCAACCATTCTACAATAATATTGAAAACGAATACGGGTACTTTTGTGCACATTAGTTACAAACATTTTTGTAAAATTTAAAAACGAAAGTAAGTACTTTCAACACATAGTTGATAATTTTAGTATAACTACGGTTTATGTAATAAGAATATGAATAAAAAATAATTACGGATAATGAGCGTATTTGTAAGAAATTATAATAATTAACTTATTGTAATCGGTTTTCATGTGTTTTTTTCTAAACGCTGTTTTCAGAATCGGTGAAGAAAATTTCTCCGGTACGGTTAAACGGATCCACTTTTCACACGATCTTCTTACCACTTTAGACCACTCTGAAGTTCAAATTTTTTTACAAAAAACTATTTACTTTTTGAAAAGCTGCCAAACTGTCAGAAAAAAAAAAGGACTAGGTCTTCGTTCATTACGTGTATTTTTCTATCGTGATATTTTTAAGCAGAAAAATCTTCCTTACCGACTGTACCTTTTTCCGGAGGCCTTCCTGGAGATGGACTACGGAATCAAGGGAATTAAATTTTTTTATATGAAAAAATTATTAAATAAAATGTCTAAAATCACAAAAAACGCGATTCTTCTGACTTGCCGATGAATATATCGCCTGAAACTATGTACAGCATTCATTTCAGAGAAACACTTAGTGTGCTAAACAATTTTCAAACGTTTCTTATATAAGCATTTGAAACTCATAATTTCATAAATAAACCCTAAATATTTTAAAGGAAAAATAATAAATGAGATTCGCAACGCAAAATCTTAAATCATATAATTTTTATTGTTAAGTTCCACAAGTTTTAATAAACGAAATAAATGCAAGGTCACAAAGTTTCAACAATTCGAAAATAAATAATTTGTTTTATGTAGTACATCTTAGCAAAGAGTTTAATTAAAGGCATTGATTCCTTTCAAAATAAAATCACTAGTATCTTTAATGAATACTTAATATAATTAACACCCATGCTTAATAGTTTTGTAAGGTTTTTCCTGTCGATTCTAGTTTTTAAGTGTATCTGAAACGCTAATAATTTTAGCTAGAGCCACATTTTTCATGTCGAAGGTTTGAATAACATCTCCAGGGATGGCTACCATTTTTCAAACAATTTTTGTCATTGAAGTCCATTCACTGGATGAACAAGAACATCACTTTATATAACAGCAAAAAAGAATACACTTTAGATATTCCTAGCCCTAGAAAGGCTTCGTAATAAAAATTCTAAAAATTTTCATCCACTTAGCTAACCTCCGATTGCGCAATTTTGTTGTCTAATGCATTATTTCATGCAATTCATTATTTCCAAAGAGTTTCTGTGGACTTGTAAATCTCTGAATTTCAACAATATAGGTATAATATGTAAAACATAATTATAGTTTATTGTTTTAAGAACTCTCACTTCACTTCATTTAAATAGCTCTAGAGGATTCTACCGACTCTTATTATTTGACAAGAAGAAAATTTTCGTAGTTTTAAAACACCTCGCTGCAAATAAAAAGGTTTTTATGAGAAATAGATTATAGAAAAAAATGAAATGGATATTTCAGTAATCGACCCAAACCCATTTAAACTCGTCAAAATCCACAATTTTGTGCTGGAAATCTATATGTCATGCGGATATAAGTTCTAAAAAAAAAACGTTTTTGTTGCTGACGGGTGCAAGCTATAAAATATTGATTTTATTTTTAAGAGTTTCAAATATTTTATACAAGATCCGAGTAGTCATAAGTCGCAAATATAGATGCATCACTTTATGAACTCCCGAAAAAAGTCGGTCACGCAACAAAAATTAGGCACACATTTTTCGCCTGATAAAAAATTACATAAGTTTAAAAGCGAACTTCTCTCAATGCAATCGATGCTTAAATTGCATTTATCATCGCTTATCTCGAGTATGTGACATATTAATGCCAGCGAACGAAATAATTTGTTAAATTTATTGCAGGAAACACATGTTGGCACTGGCAAATGCCTGTACATATGTAGCGACAAATATATACTTATATATTATACATTTATGCAATGCGTTGAATAAATAATAGTGTAATGAATCATTTGATTGGCTGGCAAACAGAACAAATCAACAAAAAAAATATAACAATGCAAAAGTGACAAGATAAATTATGCTAAATGAACGCTGTGCCGCAAAAAGTGGCAAAGTTCAAAATGCAAGGTTTTTTAGCAAATATTGAGTTGATTCATTTTTCAAGCTTTGCCGATTGAGGTAACACTGCGGACTCAAAAGTGTAACTCGAAAAAATTATCAACCAAAATTTGGGTTTCTAAAGCACTCTTTCTTGCCCTCTACAAAGTTTAGCTACCATGAAATGAAATTCGCCTAAAGGTGAAACACCAACATCAGTTATAACAATTTTATTTCGTTGATGGCAAGCAGAGAAGGCACAGCTGCCGTCAGTGCTGACTGCAGCTCTCTAAACCATCACCCACCCGCAGACAGCCATTGGCCTCAACAGCTGCATATCATTTTCAAAACACTCAAAAGTGAAAATCAGCAAGAAATAACTGCCTCGCTGACTGCCGCCGCCACTTAACACAATACGCCCCACCCCGTGGACTCACAACAAAAATACTGCACTCACCTGGCTTGTTGCTGTTATTACTACCGGCTGAGATTTGTTGCTGCGTCTGTTGGGATTGCTGCTGTTGTTGCTGATTTGGTGGCGGCTGTTGCTGATGTGACTGTGGATGTTGACCGTTATGCTGTAAATGCGACTGCTGGCCGACGCCACCAGCGCCATTTGCCGCAACAGCTGCCGGATGTATGGCGAGCAGTTTCGTTTCCGGTGGCTTATGTGGTCCCATTGTAATCGGCGGCGGCGCCCCCATCGCTATGGTGGGAGCTGGCATCATCAGTGTTGACATGGCCAGCATAATTTGCGAATGAATTTTGTCGGTTGCTACTTGAAAACTTTTACAACAACAACTGCTATTGCTAATACTGCTGCCCTAGTCTGGCAGCGTCAACTACTTACTTAGCTGGGTTAGTAGTCGGTCCTTCGCTTGGCGGCAACTGGGCGCCCGTTTGCTTGACACTATTAAAAACAAAAGTGGACGTTGCTGCTAAGCTGGTGTGGTGCGGTGAGGTGTTGAAGGCCACTGACTGGCTGGCTGGCTTGCTGAGCGGCTGAGTGGCCGACTAGTTTTGGCGCGCCTGGACGTTTGGTTTCCAAAGCAATTCAAATATTTTGCTGCTGCTACTTTTGCACTTAACACTACTGCACGGGCACACCACTCTCCCGTCGCATGTGTGTGTATGTGTGTGTGATTTTAATGTGCACCAAATGTGTGTACTCTGTGTATGTATGTGTGTGTGTGGTTGCACTTGTACTTTTCCACTTATTGATTTATCTTTAGTGAGAGTGTCAACAAACGGCGTCGGCGACTCCGTCTCGGCCGCAACACCAGCTTGCAAGGTAAATCTGTTGCTAAAATTCTGCTGCTTCTTCTGCACTCACACACGGTGTCTCTCCAGTGCTTGCGACCGGCTTAGTTGTGGGCGTCTACGGCTGTCCTTTGCTTTTGGGTGTCTGAACTTCGTTTGAGGTCGTCGTACGTTAATTTATAGCACTTTGAGCGTAAAATCTACTATCGTCTGCTGCCGCTGCTGCTCCAACTGTGTCGCATCAACACCACGCTTTCTTACTCTTATTGCTATTCTATTGTTTTTTTGTCTGAATTTTCGTTTGCCGAGCGTCTGCGACGTTAGATTTATAATGACAATTTTACCAATATTTCCTACGTCTGGCTGTGTGTGTGCATGTGTGTCGTTTGCGAATTTTTCTCGACCCGTTTTACATTCACATACAATAGAATTTTCACTTTTCTTTCGGTTTTCAATTGCTGCCTGGCGATGGCTGTGGCATGTATCTTGACTTGCAACGAGCGTGGCGCATATAGTTATTCGTTGCTACTTGCATTCGTTAGCTTGACTTTTATGGCACACACATACATACACATGTGTATATAATTCAAGTGTGTAGACCACTATATATTTAGTTTTTATGTGTGTGTGTGCGTATGTATATATGCTTTTCCGCCGTATTTTCTAGGTTGCTTGTTGCCATAGCTAGCACCGTATCTGCCTTCCTACGCCTTTCGCTTATTCGCTTAGTTTTCTCACTCACTTTCCCGCACTAACACTGTGTATGCACTCAAAACTGTTATTTCTCTTTATATATATATATACATAACGAGGGCAACAACATTGTAGCGTTTTATATGGTCATTCAACCGGAAGGAAGCTGTAGTTCGCAATGTTACGTATACGCACCCGCCTCCATCAAATGCAACAAATATTTATATACGCGATGCTCGCTCTTATTTTTATTAAATTATATAAATCTACTGAAGTTACTTATTAAAATTAAATTTTTCTCAACACTGATTTTGAAAATTTCATTATTATAATGTTTTTTTTTTTTTTGCTCTAAAAATAAAAAAACCGTCTCACCAGTGTGAACGCGCCGCGTATACTTTCTAGTATTTTTTTTTTTGTGTGCTACAAATCGTAACACCACGTCATCACCATCAGCTGTCACTAATCACTGCCAGCACTTGGCGCGTGTTAATGTGAAATGCCGGAGCGTTCACGTTGTTTCTGGCGCTTTTTCGCACCGCAAGGGCTGCGCTTGGCCGGTCAGCCGCTGCTGTTGTTATGGCGGCTTTTATGAAACTTACTGGCTTTTAATTTTTAATTTGTCTGTTGCGCTCGTTTTCAGTGCAGCGTGTATTCTGCGGTGTAAAAGAATATATAAGTTAAATAAACAATTAACTTGGGCGTAATGTAGAAGCCCAAACACTTTCAAATACAGGTCTGGAAAGTTTGCGTGTAATTTAATTGCTACTTTTGATTAGTGTGAATATTACGAAGTTTAATTATAAAATAACTTTATGCAAACTTGAAATTTATATTTTTAGGCGGTTCAATGTTAATTGACTTATTAATGAAAGTTAAATTAATTTGCTATTCAAAATATTAAAATAAAAACCAGAAACTGCTAAAATAATTAAAAAACTAAATGTGACAATAAAATCAATAATAATTCAAAAATTCTTAGAAACCTTTAAAATAAAATATACTAACTTTATACACACACAATTAAAGCCAAAACGCTTGTAATGTAAATTTATTAGAAATATAGTACAGTTCTTAAAATTTATTCTTCACAAATATGCTTAGATATTAAGCATTTAAAAAAAATTTTGTAGCTGAGAATATTATTAATAATAAATTGCGCTAAAAATCTGTCTTATTTTCTTATACTTAAATATTTTGAGATATTTGTGTAAAGAAGAATGTATGCTAGATATAATAATTATATATTTCAGGAAAATTTTAGAAATTAGCTAGCTGAACTTGTATAAAACAAATAAGCCCTTTAATTTTTTAATATGCGTGAATAACATAATTATTGAAAATAATATATAAATTTGGGTTTTTATAAAAATGATATTATTAGTCATTTCTATCAAAAAAAAGTTATATATATTAAAAGTAAAATTTTAGAAATAGACTTAAACGTTGTATTTATTGTTGTCAGAATATGAGGAGAAAATTACTTCATAAATTAATCTGGTGTTTATTGGGTAAAAACAATTTTTTTTTTTTAGAATTTTGAAAATATTATTCAAACTTTCAAAAGTAAATTTTCAACTCGCATGGGAAAACAAATCCTAAATAGTATTAATATTTCCATGAAATTACCAAAAAAAAAATCTGGTTTCAAAAATTGCAATTTTTTATTGCAAAATAGCGCATACTTGCCTTTAGAAAGCTGTTTAAATCAACAGAATAAATTCACATTTCAGATTTTTTGAGAAACCAATCCAAAGCAAAATGATATGCTAAATTTTTAATTTATTGCTTAAGTGTTTTTGGCTGCACAAATTTCAATTTCAATTTCAAATTTAATTTAAAATTTCTATCAATTTCTAGAGGTCTACTTTGGGAATAAAAATTACTAAATAGTTAAAAACTTTATAAATTAGATTATAATGTCCCAAATTGTTTACGAATAATAACTTGTTATAAAACCTATATTTAAAAATAAATTTAATATACATCAAAAACAATCTAATTTTGGAATATTTTTTATAGAATACAATTGAGATAAAGTCTTGACAATTTTTTTTATTAAAATAATTTTTGTTTTATATTATTAATGCCAGAAATTAAAAAAAATTATTTTCAAATTAAATTTAAAAAAATGAAAAACATTTTTTTAAAAAAGTGGAAAATAAAATAATATATATTTTTATATTTATATAATTTATATTAAATCAAAATAATACTATTCATTTTGAAGCATTTAGCAATAATAAAAAAAAAATATACAAAAAGTTAATTTATATAAGTACCAGTTCATAACTTATTTTAGTTAACAAGAATTTACTGTATACAAAAATTTTTAGTAGCTCATTTTGCTTTTTTGTATAAGATATTTTTATTTAACCTACCAACTTGAGTTTAAGTTTTCAAAATAATTTATTTAAATATTTTCTATGAAAGCATTTAGGAAATAAAAGTTAAATTAATTGTGTTTAAGAGCGTTAATTTTCCCGTTGTGTTTGGAAAAATGTTAAGTTTTGTTTTTGTTAGTTTTAAGTTTTTGGCAAGTAATCAGTACAGATTTGTATAATACTGATAAACATATAGTTAATTGATATTAATAAAAACTTATATATTTAAAAAAAGAAAATAATTTTTAATAATATATAACTAACTTATAAAAAAAAGAATAAATATCAATATTATTATTAACAGAAAAATTTTAATAAAAATTGCAATGTTTTAGAAAAGATTTAGATTTTATTTTCAGAAAAAAAATATATCTTTTAATTTTAATATATAACTAATTTATTTTTTGTTAAGGTGCACAAAATAAATTTTCGTAAATAATATTTTACTCCTAAATTTATTTTTTTGGCTTTAATTAACTTTACTTTTTATAGTAATATAAAAGCACTGTTAAAAAATAGGCAAAGTTATTTGTTTTTTTTTTATATAAGGTTAACAAACAATAAGTAACAGCATATTTTTAGCCTGGGTAAAAGATTAGTTTTAATTTTAGTTAAAAAGAAAATTTCAAGTTTTTATTTTTTAATGCTAATACTTTTTAATTTTTTAATTACTTAGCGGTTAAAAATTTTATTGAGTATTTGGTAATCAATTAAAGGCATATATTTTCGGGTTTTATAAATTTTAATAAGAAAAAAATTGTATAAAGTTAAATTAAGCAATGCCACCGGTAAATATATAAACATTGACCCCTCAACTTATTCATCGGCAAAGTAGTCATTAAGTTATTAAGATAAGCTACTGAATCATCGCTAAATTAATTGATTTCTCATTGAATTTTCATTTCGACGTTTCACACTGCCTGAAAACAAAATCGAAAAAATAACTATTCCTTTTGTGGTTTTCGGTATGCCATTGCTGCTTCATTGTTTAAATGAATTGAGTTCCGCCATTGAAATGCAACCGAGCGTAATCACATTAATTCAGCGAAACGGCGATGCAAGCATAAAACATATAAATCATAATAACTAACAAACTTCAGTCAAGTGTTACTTTTACGCGCTGTCATCATGCCATTCATTATTACGCCTTCTTTTGTTCTTTATTTATGAGTATGTGTAATAGTTTCTTTTTGTTTTTTTTTCGTTTGCTTGTGATTTTCAATTACAATGCATTATTTATATTTCCTGTGATATCGCTGTGATAAAACTACGAACGCACGAACAAACCGCAAAATTACCCCAACTAAAAACGCAAAGCGTACGTACTAAACCGTTAGGCGACGCTTTTCTTACTGAAACGCAACGTATTGGCCAAAATTGCAAAATCGTCATAGCCAAGTCCAAACACACACGGTCCCAACACACAACGGCCAACAGTCCGTGGCAGCAGCCAGTCAAGCTGCGAGTTGTACGTTCATCGTAAGCTGTGACGGCGACAGCGACGCCGACGATGCCAAACAACGCTTCGGCTCAATACGAATGGCATTTCTGAATACTAACTAGTTGAGAACTAGCTGCTACTGGTGAAGAAAAGGACTCTTGCAGCGTGAATCGCGAATATTGAAAGGCTTTAAACTTTGATGTATGTATAGCTTTCGCCAATGCGTAATGTGCTGTAACGGTTTTCGAAATTCGAAAATAGAATTTGGAATAATTTCAAAAGCATTTAGAAGTAAAAGTGCTTTGTTAAAACTATTTAATTGCTTAAGTGAGGCAGCACTCATAACCTAATATTATTTGTTAACATTTTTTTTTAACATGTTTCCTTCATATTTTAAAATTCAGTTAACGTTTTTCTCTTTTTCTAAATTCATTTGGCGCTTTCTCGTTGTTCGAAAATCATATGAAATTCACAAGCGTTCTCTATTCATAGTCGAACATCGACAATCGTATATCCGATATGACATACTGTGCCTCAATCGCACGCTCATTTCAACAAACACATACACACTAACGCGCTCGTACTCTCTCCCCTCACCACGGCTTACTCTCATAAAATATTTACGAATTCTCGCTCTCATTCTCACCTACAACGTACTCTGCTCACGCTCTCTCTTTTGCTCAAATTCGAATAGCTTCAATTCGTGCATACCGTTACTCAACATCGTTTCGCTATTTCGCAGTTGGAATGCCATGAAAGTGAAACAGGCGTTGCATGTCAATACACAGTTGTTGAAGGCAACTTTCAACATCGTGCCTTAGCTTCGTTGTCGCCAACCTCAACGGTTGGCTGCTAGCTGTCTGTTGTTCTCGTTTCATTTCTCGCCGTTCGTGCCTTCGGTTTAAGTGTGTATGAATGTATGTGCACACACATATATGCTGTGGAATGTTGAATCCTTTCGGTAATCGATTTCATACAGTGCGCCGACGCTGTGCCGAAGCGAAAGAGGCATCTTTACTGGCATCACTGATCCAACTGTAGTCCGTTTTGGTATTATGTGAGACAGCCCGTTTGCCTTCCGACCCCAAACGAATTATCAAAGCACAGTCGGTGTTTGTGTGTGCATATTTGTCTGTGCTATTGGCGTGCTTCTACCTTTGTTGCTTTAGCTGGCTCTGTGGCCTGTTGGAATCCCCTTGGGGACCCATTCACACATTCATATATATTCATATACATTGGTTTATGTTTGTTTGTATGTATGCCTGCTAGGCTTCGCAAAAACGCGACTTGGTTTCGGCTCAACGAGTATTTGTTGAATTTCGTCTTCTTTACCTTTGACTGCCGCCGCTTTCGCTTCGTTCCAATTCTCTTTCATTGCACACTTTTCCCATTTGTGCTGGTTTTGGTTTAGTTTTGCGGTTCGGTGCCACAAATTTGCAAACGAACAAAATGGACTATTCGTCTTTTAATACATGCAACCCCATTGAGATATTTAAATGTTTGTGTGTGTGTTTGTGTTTATGTCGTATCCCCTCAGCGTTTGTTTGTTCGCATATGTGTGTTTGTATGTATGCAATTGAATATGCCACGCGAAAATATAAAATGAAAATAATGTAAGTCTCAGCAGGTTTCCATGCATTAGCATCACATTTTGTAGACTTTTATTTATGTTTGACATTTTCCATTGCTGCATTCAATGATTTCTGGCTTTGAGGGCCTATGTATGAATGTGGGGCGAAAATAAAACCGTTTGGTTACAAATTTTTTTTCGCTGGTGTTAAAGCTTTGATATGCTTGTAATCCTTCAATAACTGTGATTATCTATTAAACGGATTTTTCTGTTTTGTAGTGAAGTTCGAAAATATTCATGCAATTTCTATGTTGATGTTTCATTTCCTTGTGTTTCGAGCTTACCAAAACTCACTACCCTGCACTAGTGTTGAATTTCGGTACTTGCGATAAAATTCCCCAGTATTTTTTACAAACATCCTTTGAAATGTGACTGCTTGCATGCATGTTTATAGCGAGTGGATAAGAATGCCTGAAGCAGTATAACAATTATTCTGAGATCTCAACTCTTTACGATATTAAAAATTCAAGAATTCGTATGCTGAAGACTTTCGATATGAGGACTTAGATATGATTTATTTAAATATATTTAATTAAATATCTTCGAGCATAGTTAAAGAGTTCTCTACATGCAAATAAATTGATATCCTATACAATCGAAGACTACACTGTATTTAATTGGTTGGTTGTACAGGCAGACGCAGGAACGCCAGAACGTAGTCGACCGCACTTAGACCATCATTAGGCCCATTGTCCTCCCGGGTGATAACCAAATTATGCCTTGAATAGCATCTCTGTGGATCTGGTAAAAAAACTGGTTTCTTTATACCGAAACTGTCCAATGACTCTTAAGTTGAAGCATTGGGAGCTGTAGCATATATCCTGTCCCATCCGGCTGAAAACTGGAAAAGTTTTCAGTGTCTCTTTATCCTCCGCATATACTCTGCATGCCACTTTACCAATTTTCTGAAGGTGCGTTCTTCTACAATAGTTTTTCCTTGAAGTAGAAGCTTTTTAGTATGTCCATCATTTCTAGTCTTGTTAGCGTTCCAAGACCTGATGTTTTTTTTTGTTACTTCCTCTGGGGTATAAGTGTACTCTGAATCTCTTGTTAAGAAATCTTGTTGGTAATTTATGGAATTACATAAACTATTTATTAAATATATCATTACGATTTTTTACTTAGTATCAATAATTAATTTAATTAATATTATAATGATACAATTCAAAATCAGCTCAAGAATTTGATTATTTTGACCATGCCTTTTATTCCCGACAGTTAATAAACTTTGCGTCAAAAAAAAGTCCTACCGAATATGTGTAACCAGTACAGAAAGCTTTTCGAGATGGTATACCAATTATAATGGTAATTTAATTCTTAAGATATGTTACTTGAAAAAATTGAAAATAAATCTGTCGATTTCATTAAACGTGAACTGAGACGATCCCGTCTATGTCTTACTGTGGCTGCACGCTGCGTCCAATACTTGGTTGACATAATCGCCCAGCAGAGTTGGTAATTCAAGCGTGGATATGTGCATTCTGAGGGACACCATGTACTGCGCACCGAAGACTCTACTGCTGCTATGGAGCAGAGTATCGAAGAAGACCTGAATGAGTCCATCCGCCATCGCGCGCAACAATTAGAACTGTGCCCATTCACTTTATGAAAGATTTTGCGGAAGGCGCGTCACATGTTCTGTGATTGGCCCCAAAACGATATGGCTACCGATTCCGATTTGCACAAGGAAAATTTGCCACCTTAAGAAACAAAACTGCCGCATTTGGAATCCACAATCTATTGTTTAGACGCCGTTACATCAATAATAAGTAACTGTTTGGTGAACATGAATATTGGATATACTATAGTTTAATGCCGAAAATAAGTGAAATTGGTATACGAATTACTCGAACTCTCATAAACTACATAAGGTATAATGATTTTCATTAGTGCAGAATGAAATTGGGATTTATCATCCTATGATTGATGTTCTTATTTGAGGATGACTTTAACATAGTTTTTACTGACGTGAAGTAAAATTTAGTAATAAAGCTAAGTGAGCGTATGACCTATAATATAAGTTAATGAAATACCATATTTGATTGTAATCCTCTCGGCTTCTTCAAATAATGTATGTTGAATTGTTTTGCAAATTTTTTTTAATATAAACTTTTGTAACACCTGAAAGTATTTCTCCGCCTTTGAGCTTTTCAAAATGCGTGAGGTTGAAATCTTCGGTTACAACTGAACTTCTTTAAATTAACAATTGGTGTCTGATGGATCTTCGAATTTTTTAACAATGGTTATAAAAATGTTACACTCATTTTGACTTCAACAGATGATGACCCTCAACATTTGTTTAAATCTATTTTCGCTATTTAATTGAATCATGCCAAGTTGTTCCGAACTCAGGGATCCCGGATGATAACCTTGCTAAAATCTACGACTTACTTTTCTCAGACCGGTCTAATCCGAATTCTTAATGGAATAGTAGAAACACTGAACACACCAAACCTGATCCTGAGTAGCCGAATACTGTTTTATCAGCCGCAAAGGTGATGCCCACTTTTTTCAGTGACCCACAAAGTTAAATTTAGCGACTACCTTGAGAAGGGCAAAACGATCACTATGCTCTGCTACATTGAATTATTGGATCAATTCGAAGTTTAATCGCAGAAAAAAATGTTTGGTTTATAAAACCGCTACCACATCCACAATATTCTTAGAAAATCAACTCCGCAGTTGAATGAGGCAGTCAGCGACGCCAAATACAAGTACCACTACTTTGTGTGGTTAATTGTCTGAAAACATATTTTGAGACTAGTTAAAAAAGTGTATAAGAACAAACAAAAGAACTGCGATGAGAAATACATATTTATATGTAATATTTTTCTAAACATTCAATTGTTCTGTTGTGGGCGGGCTGTCGGTATAACTTATCCCATTTTTAACAATTGGGAAGACACATCAATCGATAATTTAAATGGTTAAATTTTTCTCTTTGAAATCTAAGGTCAAACATTTTACCATTATTAGATTTTCGGTTATTTTCATCGCTGCTCAATTGTGGCTTCGACATATCCAAGTTATTAATTAAAACATCATTCAAAGAATAACTTTTCACACATAAAGAAGAAATGCATCACTGCACATACTTGTATATTTACGATGAATATTTTAATAAACATATGTAGATATGTGCATATATATGTTTATATAATAATTGCAAGTATCCATGCGTCTTTCACTTAACCTACAGTTAATTACCCAATTTGCTGTCAACTGTTTAACTGCTGTCACACACTTACACGCGTTACACACAAGCGCATACATGCTACTGATATAAAATGTCAAACAACTGATGAATTTTCGCATAGGTGCTTGACTACATTGTCAATTGTCACTCATACGTCATGTAAACCGC